CTGAACCTGACCAGCATCGCGCTCTCACCCAAGGAGCCGGGCCCTGAGAGCTTAGCGCGCTGGGAGGTGTCTGGGAAGTGGGACTTTGGGGCATGGTGTTTGAAGATTGACCAACAAAAAGGTACCGACTGCTCGAATGATTTGGAGGGATGCCCAGTTGGGATGGTGGCAGGGTGTTATTTTGTTTTTGCCCCCACCTAGCATAAGGTGAGTGTGTGTGTGTGTGTGCGCGTGCGTCACCCACTTTGCCAGTTCAAAAAGAATCCTATTTGAAGCTGCAGCTTCGGCAAGAAAGCATGCACCCGTCACGCCCATCGATTTTGTCACTCCGTTGCGGAGTTCCACTGACCATTCTCTGCGGACGCTGGTGCCACCCTCCAACATTTGTTTTGGGGGGTGTACCCTTAGTAAGATGTGGAGGTCAGCGGCCATTGTGACGATATGAGAAATATGATGCTCTTGTATGGGGTTGATTCCCTCAAAACGATGAGTAAACCAACCACGAAACATGGTAAATTTCAATTTGCTCCTGGTTGCCCATTGTTTGCAGCATTTTTGTTTCCCAACACAGTAGCGTTTCGCATTTCAAAGTCAAAAATTAAACAAACCACTTCGTGATCCCAGTGTGGGAAGCAGGAAGCAGATAGGGGAATCAAGCCTCGGACACACCCACCCCCAATTTCACGACAAACACCCAGGTTCGAGCTGCTGCCTGGAAGCCGCGCACATCGCCTCACCGGGCTGCAGCTGGGGCCTCACATGTGGCCTCCGCGAAGAAAGGGAAAGAAAGAGCCTTTTTGGGTACAGAGCCAACACCCCCAAAAGGGTGTGAAAAAAGACACCAAATTTGGACCCCCATTTTCCCATGTTCTCTTGGGAAAGCCGTTTTGCGCGGGACCCCGCATGAGCAATGTACATAGGGTAGCCTCCCGTCCACATGGTGGAAGACCAGCTTCCTCCAAAGGAGACCCTTTGGCGGGTTTGTGGGCGGGAAAATATTTGATTTGGGTGGTCCCTGATCAGTTTATTGTCGGGTAATCATGCGAGCCACCATCAACACATAGCGTACGTTTCGGGGGACAATTCCAAACATAGATACGGATATGCGCCCTTTGGATTCTTTGCATGGTTCGGGGCAGACGGTTTCATACTGGGTTCGGGCAGAACATGTTCATCCCGAGCCCTCACTGTGGCTCGTGGGGAGTATACAACTATATCACTAGCAAGGAGCCAATGCTTTTGCATGTGTCAAGTTTCTGGAATTTAATCGCTCGTTTGGACGAGACAGTTTTAGTGCCTTTGTTTCCCTCGAGAGCCGCGAACTCATGAATCAATCGCGCAGTTGTTCAGGGGTTTTCCCACATCATGGTCAACCCAGAAAGGTGAATTTGTGAGGTTCATCACTGGACAGTCAACGAACTATGAAGATCCTTTAGAACAGCCTTTGGGAGTCAGACTGGCAGGGTGGGGTACGCGCAAAAAAGGCGTGCCGAACTTCCAGTTGTTTTCCTTCAGTTGACAGGGCTTGTTTACTTGGGAGCTTATTGATCCGATTATCGCCTTAAAGGCGGGTGTAGTCATCCATCAGAGGATGGTTCAGTTACAGGAGATGCTCCAGAAGGGAGGGATTTGGTCCAAACATATCCATGAAACAACTAACTACTCAGAGGTACTTGTAATCCAACAGAAATGACGTGTCGGCGCATTCCCCACTTCGCTGGACTGCCGACGTCCCCGTTGGGTGGATGTCCTCAATATCAAATGCTTCAACAAGGCTTGATATGAACTTTGGACGGATTCATTGGCTTCATTGATGTTTGTTTGGGGCCACCAGAGGAAAAGCGCCTACATTCGAGTGTATTCCATACATTTCCTAGTAGGACATGCATGCGGCTATCCTGTTCACAGCTTGGACTTTTTGGCACTAAAGGGTGAGTTCCAAACTGAATCAAGTGTAAGCACAGATTCCTTCCATGTTTACTGCGTGGATTCCATTGGCGTCTTGTCCAAATCACGCATGCCCATCCCAGAAGCAGTACCCCACAACCAATATGGATTGGATCAACCGCGACCCGCCTGGCTGTCTCCATTGATAACTGCTGAAACTCCACTCCCAGGCACAAGCTGAGGAGGAAACCTGCTCAAACTCCCAGACATTGCAAGCTGAGGGGGGAGCTTGTAAAGTTTCATGCTCACCAGGGAGTTTTTCTCCAGCAGCCGGCCTCCTGATTTTTTTTTGCGCCGCAGTGGGTTCCGAGGCCCCCGGCGCCGCTGCCGCCCTTCGGGGCCGTCTCCGTGGCGCCGAAGGGCGCCAGCTGCGCGCTGCACTGCGCAGGCGGAGCCGAGGGCGGGGAGACGAAAGGCGTCAGGAAACCTTCCAGTTGCTTCAAAAAAAATGTTGTTTTCCCCTGTAGTTTTAAATGGGAATCTATCACTACTCAAGTTGTTGTTGTTTTTTTTCTCCAGGGTCTTAACCAAATGGAAGTATCCAGTCGGTGGTTTGGACGGCTGCTTTGGGGGTTTGTACACTAACCCCCTAGCCTCCAAGCCACCAATCCAACCCACTAGTTAGGGATAGTTCCAAGGAGATGACGCAATTATGTTTGTGGTGTAAGGAGAGGGTATGACTGAACCAAGATGGGGAAATTGCCATCTGCCTTCGCCCAACTATGTCCCTTTGTTGGTGGTTTGGATGGGTGGCTTTGGGGTTCCCAGTTGTTTCAGGTTTCCCTCTATTTCCCGTTTTGGTTGTTTTAGACATCACCTCGATGTGCAGTTTTTTAGCAGATCCCTCTAGGTGGGGTGATGTTTCAGCGGGAAGCATAGGGAAGCTGATTGCTTCGAAACGCATTTCCGGTTGTTCGGCAGTTCCATCCAGATCAATGGGACGACCAACACTGATTGAATGGCTCCCCAACAGCCTTCAATGTCGGTTTCCAGTTGGTTCCCAGTTTCACCTTACCCCTAACTTCATTGTAGTCGTCACTAGACGCTCCAATTTCGGACTTCTGATTGCCGCAACCCTGTCGAATTTGGCGATGTGAAAGCTCGGAAGTAGTTCTCCACAAACCTCCACGAACAACCAGGGTTTCTAACCCCCCAAACCGCAAATCCAAAGCACCAATTAGGGGTAACCCTCCACTAGTTCGGTCGTTCAGTTTGGACCAACCAACAGATTCATGTTCTCGCGATAGGTTGCCATGTGTGTGTGTGGTTCCCTGAACCCAGTGGCACCCTTTTCTGTGTGGTATGGGTCCTTTGCCAAGTCATTCAGCAGAACTCTTTGCAAATCGCTTGTTGTTGGAGGGTTGCCCACTAATTATATAGCTGTTGCTTTGCTCGCTTATTGAAAGTTGCACCACTTGAAAGTAGGGAAACTGGGGAGGTGGTTGACAGGAGATCCATCCATCCAACTCCCCCACAAAACCACCAGCAGGTGCGCAGGAATGAGTCTATTGGCAAGTTCTGTAACAGCCTGACAAAGTCATCCAGCTTGAGTGGCAGCGACAAAGGGCTGTGATCTTATCCAGCTCAAGGGGAACGGGGGCGGGTTGTCTTCCCCATTCCGTTTTGAGAGAAACATGGAACTGATGGAATTTCTGTGGTCACCCTGGGACACCAATTCCATTTTGTTTCTAGTTCACAAAACAAACATCTGAATGAAATGCCAGTTGTCAGCCCGCCTTGGCCTCCCTTCAGAAGGGACAAATGGAATTACAACCTCTTAATGAATCGAACAAACAAACAAACAAACAAACAACCGAACGAACAACCAAATCAACCAAACCAGCAAGCAAACAAGCAAACAAACAGACAGACAAACAAACAAGCAAACAGAACACACACACACACACAAGGGGCGTTCATCCAGCCAAGAATCCGAACAGCCAATTGAGAGTTAACCAAGTTTGCCTTGGCTGAGGCTAGGTCAAACCAATATGCCACCAGCTTGTTCGGCAATGCCCTTCGCGCCAGCTCAGGTCAGGACGAGGTGTGCGAGATGCCGGCATGATTTTGTGCGGCCGAGTCTTGGACGCGGAAATTAAGCTCTTAGCTCTTGGCTCTCAATCAAGAAGGACAGTCGAAAGCTGTTTGATGAGACTCACATGTTTGGGCTTCATGAAGACGAAGAACCCCACAGGCACAGTCAGATATTCCGTCACGCGGCTGAACAGATGACGGGGAGTTCAAATCATGGACCATTGATAGGAGATCTAGTGTCCGTGAGAAAGTGGTGCCAAAAGACAGCTACCGGTTGGATAGGTGTCCTTCTTTCCGCAACTGGCCAGGTGGATGCCGACTTGGTGTGCCGGCCTAGTCGATGTGCGTTTCTGGACAGGGTGGCCAGATATATCCCCAGCGAGTTGCAGTCTATTTGACTTTTTTGTGCCAAGCGCACACTATGTTGATAAATTACAGCGTGTTCTCTTGCTTGGTCTGAAATTGTTGCAGGGCTTAATGTGTGCTTAACAGTTTCCCGACCCCTTGACAATTCCTCTGGTGGACAGCCAACGGGGTTATCAATTATAGACAACCTTGAGGAACATGATGCCCCCTTGCCCTACAGCTGGAGCTTACAAACTTTAGTTTGGGGAAATGTTCAACTTGTGTCGCTGACGGACCCCAAATCCGCCAGCCTTCTATGAACATGGTGAGAAGGCAAGTGCCCTGTTCCAACAATCACGGACAACTTGAGCTGCTAGCGTAGCCCGCTTCGATATTTTGTCTCCAAGGATGCATTGTCGCCATGGGAACTGTGTGTGTGCGTGTGTAGTGGGAAGAGCTGCTCGGTGCGGTCGCCTGACTCAAGCGTCCTTGAAGTGAAGTTTGCCGCGTAGCGCTCGCTTTCGGAGGTCAGCGGCTCTGATTTGGGCGGAGTTTCTTGACCACCCTGATGTATACACTTGACCGATCACCTGGGACTTGACAAGGCTTTCTGACATCATGACGATGGTCGCACCAATTTCTCTCACACCTTGCTCCTCCAGCAGGACGGCCCCAGCTGCTCTCGCTCCTGGCTGCCGTCACCGCCACAAGCAGGAACGCCCCGAGTCACCAGAGCCGTCCTCCAGGATGGCACCAAAACCACTCTGATTTGCTTGGATCTGCTGCACCCACCAACCGCCACAGATCACCCCAAGTCACAACAAAGCCGTCGCCCAGGATGGCAGCGAAAGCGTAGCATGTTGCTTGGATCAGTTGTGAGGCTTTGCAGCTTGAGCTTGCTTTCTGTTTAAACCTTAGCCTATGCTTTCAAATGTGAGCTGCAGCCTCGGCTTGCAAACCTGCTATGCCGACAGCAAGAGCACCATATTTCTGCAGAGCTTAGGCCCAATGGGAAGGTTTATCGCGGTAGCAAAAGTCCGGATAGCCGCGTGAAGGCAGGCTGCGATGTGGATAAAGATGCTACCATGAAACCAATTTAGAAGATCCGGATCACCTTTGTGGGAACCGCCCTTTTGGGGTTACGTTTGTTTAGTTGCAGGGAATAAAGCATCCTTCAATGATTCAACATGGCATGCCTAGGCACCCTTGAACAGTAATTGCTGACATTATTATCCCATGTTTGGAACTTGTTTTGTTTTCCCGACACCTCCCGACCCCATTTTAAGATTATCGAACAGCCCTTCGGTCCCTGCATTGAGGCGCCTCACGTTTGACTCGGTACCTCCAAAACCAGTGCCTGTAATTGGTACGAGCAACTTCATCAAGGTCAGCTTCTCCAAAATCATCAAACCTGGGGTCTCGGTTATACGTACATTGAAAGGTTGGCGACTGTAAACAGGAATCAGAATCAGGATGTACTATTGTGCGGTAAACAGAGCTGGGTCAAAAAACCCGGTCCAAAATTGGCGAATGGCTTTCTTTAGGCAGGTTCTTGCCTCCTTGTGCTTGATGCCTTCTGAAGGTGGCCAGCTGCGTGTTTGTTTGGGCGCCTTGTTGTTTGAATGGTTGCTGCCTCATGTGTTTGGTTGGTTGTTTGCTTGTTCTTTGACCCGGTTACTCTTGATCAGCTCGCGCTTGCCGGTATTCCTTCGGATTCCGTGCGGCTTTCCTGATGCTAGGGCCGGGCAGGATTGGTCTACAGAAAAGGCTGTGCTACTAGATTGCTGCCCCCTGCGAAAACAAACGACGCTCAACAACCTGGCCTATTGCCAACGCAGACATGGCTTTGTCTCTATATAAATGGGAGCTGCAAGTTTTAGACTAGCTGAAGAATGGTACCCTCACACAATAATATACCCCACACACACACCCGGTCCCACTACCGTTTTACAGGCACATGTCAGACTCTACTGTTGCTGCAGGTCTCAGTGGCACGCTGCTCGCCGCCGCTGACGGCGGGGGTTCCCTATAGGTCCACCCCCTCCGCAAAGTGACGAACCCACTGGTGTGCACTTTACCTGTTTTCAGACATCACATTTTAGGGCATTTTACAGTGAGTGTCCTTCTGCTGGGCCAATGAGTCAAGGGAAAGTACAGAGAACTTTGCCTGCAGGGCGGGTGATGCACGTAGTAACATGGAACCTGATGGAAGCTGCATTCAAAAGTTTGCGATTGTGTTCCACTGGAGAACTGAGGATAGGTCATGTGCTTGCTCTCACTCGTGAAGTGTGAAATCTCAGAGGTTTAGTGAGTCTGGACCTTGCAACGGAACGCCCTACCTGTGTCAACAGGAGTGCTTGTTTGCCAAATGGCCTGTTTTTTTTTGTTTTTCCTTTTGCCCAATGGCAGTCTATACCAAATCAGCGAGCATCTTCAAGCAACAAGTGCAGCTGGACTTCCCCGTTGCCTGAGGAGCAGCTGGTAGTGGCCAGATGGCAGACGATGTGCTCTGCCAAAAGGGACGACCAGTTTGCCGGATTCTGTGGATCGCCTTTCTTGCCAGGGCCATATACCTGGACCCAGGAGAAGTCAGGGCTGTGCAATGGACACTACCGTGACATCGTGGTCTCACATGAACGTGCTGCCCGAAAAAATAAAAGGTTTAGCCAACTTGGCTCGCTTGCCAAGGCAGTGCTACGCTGCCGCAGCTGCAGCGACCGGGCGCGGCGCCAAGGAATCCACGGCCGAAAGCCGTGCCTAGTTGGATTAGAATGGGCATCAGCCGTCTTCAAGAATGTGGCTAGTGTAAAGACTGACTAATCTCCCAATTTGTGGAGTATCTTAGTACCTAAATGTGGTTTTGGCCACCTCTTGACACATCCATCGCAACCTGCCTACACCAGGTTTCATTCCCAGTGTTTGATCTCCCCAAAAGGGGGTACCTTTCCGGGCTTAGATCCTTGGGATAATTCACCAACAAATGGGCCGGGTGTGTCTTGAAATAGGGCCCCCACACCGGTGGTTTTCCCCGTTGATTTCCTCTCAAACCTCAAAAAAGGTACCCACTGACAGCGGCCCTCGCGACTTTCGAAAATTCAGCGAGGCAGACTCTGCAAGCTTTCCTGGGCTGCAGCTCAGGCCTCTTTGTATTGGGGGGAGAGGGACAGCGAGTCATGTTGCTTTGAATCGCCTGGTGTACAGGGTTCACATGGGGCATGTTTTTGTTGAGCCCTTTTGTGCCCCCCCCCCTCCCCGCGAAACTGAAACAACGCTCATGCCGCCCGAGGCTCCTGTCCCGCAGTGCGTTTACATGCTCACAGGGAGGACTCAGCACATGAATGAGACTGCTTTTTCTCTTGCTGCATTCTCACCATCGCAAATACGGGTAAGCGTCGAAACAGGGGACCCCAAATCGTGGTCTTGCTTTTGGTTTCCCTTTAAACCAAGATGAAAAGGGCACCCTCAAAAGAGCGCAGCAATATGATATGGTGGGCTAGCACATGTTTTTGGCATTGCTGTAGTTGGCCTCGGCAGGGCTCGTGCGCGAGAGGGAACTCGTGATCACGAGAATAAGCAAACTTTCCGCTGAGCCGTTGACGACCAGCACACTGTAAGAATAAATAAGTTCCCCAACAGACTCTCACGTTGCAATTTGAAATTTGCTGCTGACCAATACAAAGCAACAAGCTCCCTTAAAACCTCAAGCATTTGGGTGGGCGTGCCAAAATAATCACTGAATATAGAGTCATTGGAACATGCTAGGTCAGCGCGGCTCTTGCTCCAAGAACATGTTTTATTATGTTTATCCGGAACGGGGTGGTTTCTCGTAATTCAGCTGCCAGAATATCCCGTGCCTCGTGTTGTAGCGTGATTCCTGTTTTGGGGTTTTGTTGTTCTTTCCACTTGTCTCCTGGGTCGAGTTTTTGTGCAGGATTCTCATTTCGGCTCTGGCCAACCCTCTGAATCAAATTGCACCCTGAAGCACCTTTCCCGCTCACATCGTGCTCACATCCAAGCACGATGTGACTTGTCCAAACCGGTCCACGCGCGCCATTCTTTTGCAACATATGGTTGATACGGTGTGTCCTCTCTGCTTCCTTTCAAGAGACTCGAAAAGGGAAGGTTGAGGCATGTCGAGACAGATCTGGGCAATCACAACGTAGGCCCCCCTGTGGTTCTGCATCCCCGGCCAGCTCGGATACCTGCTACGCCGGGGCGACGCTGCCCAACTCAGGCCAGTCCGAGGATTGATCGCCACACAGGTTCAGGTCGCCGTTGTTTGTTTCTGCTTATGGTGGCTCCAACCCGCATGTTTGTGCTTGCTGATCTGCGGACAGTGGTGAGTTGTCGCTTTGTTGTTTGGTTTGTGGGCAAGGAATCCAACAGTAACACAACCATGTTGGAAAGTCTCCATTTGAAAACCCAATGACTGCTTGGGAGACGAATATCCAGAATCGCAAACTTGCCAGTCTACAGGGGGACATAGGGGGACATGTTGCATCAGCTATAATTCTCGCTTAGAGGGGCACCACCACCATGCCAATCAGTGAGGTCGGGTTAATCTGCAATTTTGACGACCTTAAACCCACAATGACTCGAACAAAGTCTTTGGGCTGACAGACAATCAGGTATTGTACTTGCCAGAGTGCGTGCGATGAATAATTTTAGTACACGTGTATGTTCCAAGTCATATCAAATTCTGTGTGACGAGAATGTGATAGCTCTTCGCTTTCGTTGCCATTCCGGATGAGGCCATTAGACCGTGCTGACTGGTCGATGAGACCAGTCAACAATATGTTTGAAGCAGTGCTCAACCGAAAGGAATCCAATCGTGTTCAATATTCCATAGATTTGACACACACACACACATGCAGAACCATGTGTTTCGGACCTCCGGCAGACTTTGTGGCTTACGGTCAGATATCCATTGGGTGCTGGCCAGGTGCAAAGTATGGCCTGTGCTCTGCGCAGACTGAGGGCGTGCAGCGTTTGTGTGCCGGGAGCCCGGGCGCTTGCAGCTGAAGGGATGCGTTGAACATCTTAGTGAACCAGGTGAAGTACAGATTTCAAAGCATCTCCACCAACTGCTTCATTTGCTCATGTGTTTTTTCAGAAATCCGTCAAAGTGACCTGGGTGTCAAACGTGGCTGTCAGGCTGGTACTACGCACCGCAGTGACATGTTGCGGTGGGGCAGATCTCCATTTTGCCCAAGAATGCCGAAGAAGCTGGGCCTTTCGGTGGTGCCAGAGGAATCAGACTGAGATTCCGGCGGCGTTTGGATGCGCCCTGCGGTACAAAACCTGGGCACTTTCTTGAAGGGCCAGCCTTGGGGGAAATGGGCTTCGGACCCGGGCCTTTCTGAGATATCGTTAAGTGGATGATTCCCAATGACTGCTGAGTGTCACTTTAGAATCCTACCCACCAACAATCACAGTTTCCACTTTTTGAAACGGCAAGGTTGGCAGTCGTGTGTGTGTGTGTGCCTGGTGAGTAAGGGCTTCAAAGGTCCTTTGAACGTCTAACCTGCTGCCTCACCACGAATTGGTGGCTTGAATAGATATGTTTTGGGATTTGATGGGAAGACCCACGCGGAACCTCCAAACTCCAGACCCCCAGCATCCCCAAGCCGCCAATTTGGCATTTGCAGCCAAGGTATGCCGTCGTCTTGGTAAGGCGCCGGGATCATGATTCGGATGGCAGTCTCATATTCCATGCTCTCCTAAAAGTGGCCACCAATGGTTGCCCTACCGGGTGATTCTCTTAGAAACCGCCAGAAAGCAGATTGGTCTTGGGAAACACCCAGAGCCTCTCCGAGCGATTGTCCTGCAGCCATTGGATCACAGAGAACTCAGTGCCGCAGCTTTTGCCTTGGCTATGAGCGGATACCCGTGGCCCGTCTAATTTGTGCCTCGAGAGCAGGGCCAATCGATGCGTTAGGCACTTAAGCTTGGTTAACCTTTTGCCTTTTCAGCCGCTTGGACAATGATTGTTTCCCCATGAGCCAGAAAAGTTGTTGCAGCGGGTTTCAGACAAGAGCAAGCTGCATGCAGATGTAAGAAATCATGTTGGGATCCTTGCGCTGCGTGTCAGCGGGGTCCGGAAAGGACGCCATCATATTGGCCCCCACCCCTTTCGTAGGTTAGTTGTGGAGGGTGTCCCCTGAAAACAGCTGTATGCAAAAAGGGTCGCGCTTTGCTATCTGGAATTCCGCTGGACAGCTGACTAGGATCATGATCTTGACTGTTGCTGGAGGTTATCAAAGTCCGAAACTGGGGTTGTGTCCCTTCAACCTACCACTCGAGGGGCAACTCTGTCGGTAGAATAACCAGCGGTTGGTGGAAAGTTGAAATGGCAAGCGCAGAAAGCAACAAGCCATCAAATGATATAGCAATCAAGTCACAACTGAATCACAACAACATCAAGGGCAACGTTTCCAGTCTGAAAAGCCGCTGAACCCGCACCGGCGGCCGTGTGCCCAGGAAGGGCACGGAGGTCGGCCAGCAGCTGCCAGCGCTGGGGGCGCCTTGAATGCCTCTGGTCGGGACCCATCCGCTGGGAACACGGCTGTGCCGCCTAGTTTCTGTTTTTTGCCGGGCGGGGGGGGAGGGACCCTTTTGGTTGTTTGGTCTAACAGAAAATGACATGAAGATCCCCGATTCCTAATGTTTTCCGGATGTTGAAACAACCCCGCGCGAATAGAACCAGTTGTGGTGATGAAATTCGGGTGAGGGTTGTGGTCAAGGACCGAAGCAATTTCGGTTTCAGCGGGTCAAAACATCGAAATCGTCACTGGGAGCCCCTAGATACTCCAAACATGCAGTTGCACAGAGAGGAAGTGGAATCCCGTGCTGGGGGGCAGGGGTACTTCAGTGCGTCGTGCCTTCCTTGGAGTACTCAAATTGAGCGCAAAATCGGAGGTTCCTCTTGAAAAGAACACCTCTCAGTTGTGAAACCCCGGATGAAGTTGGACTTTCTGGAGCGGCCAAGGAAAAAGGTGATAACAGCCCGCCAGAGGCCGGAATGGGTGCGGCAAGACTTAGGGACAGGAGACTACAAGCTGCCAAGCATAACAATCAAGCTCAAATCAGCTCAGACAGCAGATACATTCTCATATTGTGCAACTGTGGCTTACTGCTTTTTGATTAGGGTCAGCTCCGCTCAGATAGCTTGAAGCACATATACCATGGGAGACATGATGCCTACGTTCCAAGGACCTAGATTTGCTCGAGCTCACGGCCGTGTCTCCGGTTGATGGGCGTTACAGGCGGGCAATACATGCGTCCGCGCCGAATCATTCGCATTTTGCTGGGAGGACACCGCGACTGAGGGGGTTCATTGATCCACCCAACTAGAGCTTGACCATCTTCAAGTAAGATAATTGCTTGCTTAAGGTAAGTTAAAGAGAGCCTCTCCAGTTCAACAAATATGTGGGATGTACTTTCTGATTGTTCTTGAATCATGAGGGCCATGCAAGGCAGAGTCAAAGTCAAAGACATTGGTTTTGCATGATCCCTTCAGAATTGTTTGTTTGCTTCAAGGTTTGCATCGGCCGTGGGTTCATTCAAAGAGTTGCTTGCCATGCTGCTGCCAGTTCAGACAGTGAAACATACTTTGACTTTCGCGCGGCCGGCAGGAAAAACACCAAGGGCCTTGCGGAGTACTTTTCCGAGTATGGCCTCATTCGGTATCGCGTCCATGTCGGGAGCTGAGATGTGTGCGACCGCGCTGCCGACGAGTGAGTTGGATGAACACACCGTGCGCGACATATAGACTAGTCAAAGCTTGAAAGCCTAAGCTACCAATGGGTATCGCCTAGATTAGGCGGCCCCAAAAACGGGCTGGTTTCCGTTTGGCTTCCCTTTCAACCTCATTCAAACGAAGGTCCCTATCTCTGGTGGATTGGATGCTCCCCACACGAGCTGCTGCATTTCTTTGTGTACAAACTGGTTTTGGACGGGCAAATGGGAACAAGGCACTTCGGCCTTGCCAGGCTTTGTTCGGTTGAACCATCTTATCGTGGGTACGTAATCGCGTGCCTAGCAAGACAGATGACTATTTTCGTAGTTCGGAATGCCAGGCACAAAGTCCTTATAGCATCCTCATGTGTAGATATCTTCTTGTGAAGCTTTTGATGTCGACTCTTGGTTTCTGCCTGGTTTGACATGTGGGGGAACCACCTACATGGGTGGCTTCCCTTTGGAAGGGTACCAGGAAAAGAGACATCCATTCATTTGTCAGCTGCATGGACGGAACCGCATCAGCGAAGCAACCATCTTAGCCGCTCTCTAACTCGAGGTAGGCCCCCACTCTTCAGTGGTCCCTTTCTGCGGCGCTGGCATTTCTCTATTTTTTCAGTGATTGCATTGATGGACGGGACAAAAGAATCCGTTAAATTGGTGGATCTTCGAGGCTAGTGGCAACAGCGGCAAGAGCCGCCCTCTTGACTTGTCACCATGTTTTTGGCTGGACCCTTTTGAACCAGGATGTTGATCACAACTCACTTGACAGTTTGTTGGATCTTCTTTGGGGCCGGGGTTGCCAAGTAGCAGATCTTTTTGGGACCTGGTGGCCTGGTTCGTGCCTGTTGAGCGAGTTAGCAAGCTTCAAGCTATGTGGATAGGTTGGTTGGCCCAGAAAGTTCGGAAACTGTCAACTCAGCAGGACGGAGTCAACTGACACGTTGTTGAATTGTTTGGGGGGCCAGGTTTGCCAAGTAGAATTATTTTGGATCTTGTTGTGTCTCAGGTGAGTCACTGGCAAGGCTGTTGGTAGTTCACTGCGGGGGGAGGAGATGGGATGCTATTTTCCCACGTCCTCTTCGGGAAACATTTGATCTAGGCAAGGACTCACACATAGAAGGGCTGATTGGAACACCTCACAAAGGGAAGGACTGATCCTTAGTCCATCTAACTATAAACTGTAAACAAAGAGTACTTCCCACTACTCAATGACCCAAAAAGACAATTGGGGGTGACATGGGACAATCATTGTCCCACGTCTTCTCAGAAAACCGGAGAGATCCCTACATGACCTAATTTGGGGGCCTGACATTGTAAGCGGGCAATGGAGCTTGCTGGTGCTAAGTAGGGAATGAGGGAATGACCCCAACAAACCATCTTCTATGGTGTCCTTTAAGGGACCCCGAAACGGTTCATTCCCTCATTCCTACCTATCGCAGCAAGCTTTGGTTCGTGGGTATGGGTCAAAATTAAACCACCAGGGGACCACAGGCTTTAGTCCTTTCCATGTACCAGGGTGCCATTTTGGGGTTGCCCTATTTTTGACCCACAGCCAGGTGAGCCACAATCAAAACAGCTGTTTCAGCCTCAAGCCTTCCCGCGGTGACAGCTGTTAGCTGTTCGGTGGGACCTGACCCCTCCTTGGTCATGGCCCCATCACCCGGACAGTTACAGATTTGGGGACAGGGGTTGATGTTGGCCTTTCTGGTCAACTTGTTCATGTTTTCCTTATCTATTGGAGATGTGAGAGAAGGGATTCTTGTGGAATCCCAGGTGTGGAATTGTTGCTCTTTTCTTGGTCTGTTTTCGAAGATGTTCATGGTGATTTGGAATGGTGTGTATTTTTCTCCTGGAAAAGCTGCCTATTGGACCTCCCTCATCTGGAGCAGAGTGAGGACCACTAAGGACTGCAGATATGACCTGGTATTATTTGGTATTGATGATTATTGGTGGATCTTGGTTGGTATGCTTCTTCGTCAGCGGCCTATTGATGCGGTTATTGAGCACCTCATCGTCGGCGCCTTTGGTATTTTATACATTTCTGGATGTCGGTATCTTCGTGAAGGAGCAGCAATATTGGTGCGCTTATTGATGCTCATTCTACATGAAGCAGATGAGATACAGGCCGGGTGTCGTATTTGGGTACAGGGGAGGTGCAGACAGACCCCTTGGATTCCCTTTCGGCTCCCTTTATTTGTGATTATTTGGGCCTCATGTACCCTTGAAATGAATTGGTATCTTCGAGGGTACCTACCCCACAATAGCTTCCCTGAGCATGCTGTGGGCGTTTATATGGGGGAGTCTGCTCTGTTTGGCTCCCATATGGCTCAATCAGTGTGAATTGGAGCATTAGCCATGGAAGCAGCCCGAGGGGCGTGAGCCTTCTGAGTGGCTGTCTGATTGCCGGTGTGGCGGTCACTATGCTCTTCATGGTGTGCGCGCAGGCGCTGCACAGGTTATGGGTGCTTCTTGTCCGAGCTTGCAATTTGGACAAGTTGGAGGAAGAGCAGCATGGCGAGGAGAGCATTGACCTTGACAGGTTTGGGAAGCACCTCGACGGCCCCACGGTGGCTCTCGGGACCGTCACTGGCAGGATTTTGTGCAATATGGGGAGAGGCAACTGCTTTTGGTATGCAATCAGTCAGCTTCGATTCGGGCACTCCAGGAGCTGGAGAAAGATCAAGTTTCAGGTCCTTAGCAACTCCACCCTGGAGATTCAGAAGAAGCTCAAAGCAGGAGGCAAATGGGCAGATGAGGACGCAATTCAAGCAGCATCGGATTTTTTGAAGCAGGAAATCTGGGTGGTCAACGTGGGCAATGGGTGCAATTATAAACACACCGGGCAGGTGGTGCGGTTCATGCCTACAGTTCAGGACATGCAGATCAAGCCGATGATGCTCAGGCTATTGAACAATCACTTTGAAGCTATTCGGA